CACCTTAAGACCCTTCCATCTATGAAGAGTATTTGATTCTACCATATCTTGGTCTTGAGAAGCAGATTTTTTTTGAAATTTTAGTCAATTCAACCCTTTTTGGCCCTGCCTCTCAGGCCCCTGGGGGCGTAGGACTAAACCGGCCACTTTTTTTGTTGACCTTTGTCCATGTGAGGTCCCTGCAAAATTTCATTGAAAGTGGTTCAGGGGTTTTGGAGGACAAGATTTTTGAAATTTTAGTCAATTTGACCCTATTTGGCCCCGCCCCTCAGGCCCCTGGGGGCTTAGGACTAAACCGGCAACTATTTTTGTTGACCTTTGTCCATGGAAGGTCCCTGCAAAATTTCATTTAAATTGGTTCAGGGGTTTTGGAGAAGAATTCGAAAATGTAAATTGTTTACGGACGCACGACGGACGACGACGGACAAAAGGCGATCGCAATAGGTCACTTGGGCCTTTGTCTCAGGTGACCTAAAAATCTTAAAATCTATGTAATCCATATTATATATGATTAAGTTTGATAACATTATGACAACAAGTTATTATAAAATCGAGCACATCTTTCCTATGACAATATAACAGGATAGGTATCACAATTATATTTGTTCTGTATTGCAATATATCGTGATACACTCTTGGCGTATTGTGACCCCCCTTATATGGTTACAGTCTATGATAAGACTTTTACTATGGGAGATAGCGAAACAGTTCTTGGAGTTGGAATATGTGTCAATATTCTCCCTATGTTAATATTGTAAGAAAGGTTTTGTGTATTGTTCCAGCCCTAACATGTTACTAGTGCTTGGACAAACTGTACGGTAAGATACATGCCATGATATCTCTCTTTCAATATGATACTTACCACAAGGCAAAACAATTTTGTTTTTAACAGGAATAATGGTTTACTAAATTCCCAAGTATTTATTCAGTCTCATCATAGGCCCCATCTTCCGAGTCTGTTCTAGATCTGTAGGTTGATGTTTTCAATTTGAATGCTATACTTGCAGCCTCTCATCCGAGTATTTGATAAACTTCTAGATAACTGTATTTTTTCACAGTAAACAATAACATTTCATGCAATTTTCTTTATCACTGATGAAATGTATCATGATACAGCGATACCGATCAGTGCATTAATACAAATATCCTAAGTGTCACGCCATATATTGATTAATTATCCTCATCCCATGCATAAAACACATGCTATTTCTCCATTCTGGTATACACTGTCACGGGGACAGGGGTTAATTAGTGGAGTTTGGGAAACAGACCCCGGGATGTAATAGGGGAAAAAGAATTGACATAACCATTTTAAGAAATTTGGATCATGATTATTATAGTAACCTTAAAACATATGAAATTTATAGTGTTCACAACTTTTTTCCCTTTTATGACAACTTGATCAGCCTGTCATATATATAGCTTAATTTTGAGAACTTGGTCAGTCGGGAAGAATTATTTGATTTTGCACATTTTTTTTATTTTTATTTTTTTTTAGATTTTTCAATTGGTCATTTTAAGGGGATTGGGAAATATCTCATGCTTTTTTAATTGGGGAGATGGGTCCAATATAAACAGACCTAAAAAGTACCCCGATAAAACACGGAGGAATTAGTGAGTTTTGAAACACAGATAAGGAAGACTAAGAAGTGGGCGAGTGTTTCCTATTTGATGGATTCCTAAATGAAATTCAGAAGTCTGGCCAGAAGAACAAATCAAACTAAAGAGATGAGTAGAACCACAACTCGATCATGTTAGTAAAAGTATAAAGTTAGCCAATAGGTTTAAAACTGAAGTTTTAATAGCATTGAATAAATACTATATTTAGACTCATGTTTACATATTCATGTAAATAAGACAAACAATGAAACATGTATGCCTCAGATTCATGGCACCTATACATCCCAAATGCTATTGAAATGAATGCTATTGATTGGGCCTGGTCACTCAGGTCTGGAAAGGCGTCTATTTAATTTGAATTCCTTGTGAAAAAGGGAGAGGAGCGCTTATTTGGGGAAGACCACCAAATGTGGCGAATAAGGTATTCTGGACTTTAATACCAGAGTTACCTGAAGGATATGCTAGTACTTTTCCTCCTTGCTAGAATGGAAGAAACATCTACACTGTATACGCAATTGTCACAAGTTATGGAAGTGGAATGCACACCAGAAGAACAAACAATAGGCGGAATACACACACTTACTATGATTATACGTTTTTTACCTCTAATTATATATAGTTTATCGTAACAATCTGGTATAGACTTACCCTGATTTGATTTTTTAACTGTTCAGTTTCCTGTCGTAGCTGTTCCAGTTCCGACATGATTAGTTTTTAAAAAAGAAAAAAATCTGAAATGCAAAAAAAATACAATATATTAAAGCATATATATCTACTGATTATATATGTAATTTCATAAATCATATTATGTTTATTTCATATTCTCCATTCAGTTGAAATTGATGAACTTTTGTTCAACCAGTGGACAAATTCTCCAGTAGTGAGTCAATGTTGTGACCATTTTGGGCTACAGTGGTCTATTTCAGTGGCATTCATTTGCCTGAGTATGAATAGCAAAACTAGTTTCCTCACAGATCATCAGGAAAAAGTTGACCAAATTTAAATGATTCCAAAATTACTTACCTTCAGCATGTTTCGTATCATTCTAATAGTGCCTTACATAGCATTATAGCTTTTAAACATCAATCATACATATTTTTACAGCAGATATCTCAAGTCAGACATTGTTTGCTTCACAGTTAATACAAGTCAGTAAGTGAAGGGGTGTGAACATTCAAGCTTCCATCAATGTAGACTTTTATTTGTTTATACGTCTAAAGCCATCATGACATGGCAACAACTGTCAGTCTGTCATCAGAATAATTGAATTATTTTCTTTTCATATAAGAGGATAATGAGGATTCATAAACCAATAACAGAATCTGTCCGGATATATAAAAATAATCTTTGCAGAAAAGGGACTTAAAATGCACAGAAATGGACTACACTAAATAGTTACTTCAAGACATATAATACATACATGATTGTAATGTGATGGTCCAACATTTAATGCACAAAAAGTATGATAGCCCTAAAAATCGTAAAAACATGCTGATTATTCTACAAATATAATTAGGAATTAACGGTGTGAATAATTCTCTTTTGAAGTCGGGCATATTTTGTCAAACTGAAGTGAGATCTATACGAAGTTATACGAATATTAATTAACAAAAGGTCAATAACCGTGGAATCCGTGGGGAAAATAACATATCTGGAAGGCTTTTGGCACTTCACTATATTTGCGAAAATATTTTTATATTGTTATTATTATTCACAGTGATCTTGTAGAATAAATATCACTGGTAATCATGAAAATTACTCAACACATTCTTCATTTATAGCTGGCTACAACCATGCCATACAAAGACCTCCAGCCAGACCAAACTAATCAATTATGATCAATATTTCAGCTCGTGAAAAGATGTTCTAACCCAGACATACTATTGCTTCAGTGATGATTTCCACATCCACATGAATCCATCACACGGAATCTGTAATCCTGTTTATTCACCACACCCATAATAATACCGATTTTCATCATGCAGACATGAAATATCCCGTATTTTGGACAACATGAATTTCACAAGTAATTATGCACAATGTATGCATGATCGCCATCTTTGAAAATGGCTGCTTTCACAAAATTCATGCTCAGCCACCGTCTGCATCTTAACATCCTCAAAATATTTTTCCAAATATCATGGAAATCCGTAACAAACTGCATAATTTGTTGCTCTAATTGATTGCAGAGCCGATTCAACGTACATTGCAACAAAGTTGTCAAAAAGATACTTTGTATGATGTGGTAAACAATGTACGGTAAATGAATGGACCAAATAAAACACCGTATGATGATGCAGAAATAACAAAGATCTATCCAATTTGTCTGTTCTTTGACATGCAATCGGTATCACACATACATCGAAAACTTATTTCACATCATTGTAATAGATAACGGGACACAGGTCTGGAAGTAAAAAACGTAAACACCGTTCTGACAGACGGAAATGGCGGCTAGCTAACAGCTCGTCTATTGTTTGAGAGACAGCTAAATCGGCGAATTTCCCAAACGATTAATTCCACAGATGCACCGATTGTGTCGTACGTTATTATACTTACATCAATATATAAAAAGGGGGCCCGAAAACTCCCACTATTCGGTCATACAGTCTCCCGAAATCACTGCTCTCTGGCCGGCATTAATCAGTTTCCCTTTTCCTATGATGGGGTGCGGTCTCCCTGAATCAGTATAAGAAACCCCGTAGACTGTGTTAGTTGAAGTCAGTACGCATGCGTATGTCATTCTCTGACGACATCCTCATTAGCATTTCAGCTGGGTTGTCAAACGGTCGGCAAAGTCGGTTCAGTTGCCAACTTTGACCTGTTGTATGATGTTTCGGGTACGAGTTTACACAATTTGGGTAAATTCAGTCCAAAGATAAATATTTCTCATTGCAAGCTTTGCATGGGAAAACACAGAACGCTAAAATTTGCTAAACGCTGTAAAAGACGGCTCATGTAGCTGTAAGGTGATCGAAGGGAAACAACTCTGATAAAATTGCATGTCTTTTCATTCTTATAACCTATTGCATTAAAATTATGGATTTTAAGAGCATACTTTCCATTGGACATTTTTTTTTTTTTTTACCACTGTTATAAACTTAATTTTTGTTTCTATTTAAAACACACCGTGTCATCCATACTTTTATTTGAAATGAGTTAAAATGTTAAATTCTTCGACTGGAATTATACTCTAATTGTTTAAAAAAAGGAAAAAAAGGAAAGCTTGATTAAATAACTGATTTATAAAGTTCCATTTTATCATGATATTTGTTTGTCTTTTTTGTTTGTTGTTATTTACAGATCCAGCTATTTTATTTGTTATAATAGCTGGTATATATCATTTACTTCAAAATTATATAAAAAAAAGTTACAAATAACCCAAAATAAAATGGTCCGTTTCATTCTTAACTTAAACAACAGGACAAGAATTACATGAACTGAACTACAAAAAAATAGTATGCTCAATGTAGAGGGAAGAGTTCGTCAACTTCGTTTAAATCATGCATTTAACATCTTTAATGAGAAATGCCCTCAGTACAACAACACATAATGATATGGTACTAGATCTGGAAATTCAAATTTCGCTATTAAAAACGTCAAGGGTACAGAAACATCTATTTTTTTCTTTTCGGCTGCTAAAGATTGGAACTCTTTACCGGATCATATCAAAAATATCAAAACAAACATAAATTCAAAACCAATTCTAAAAAACACCTTATGCTTCAATCAAAAAATGAAGTGGATGATCTCTTTGTCTACTATTGAGCACACATGTATTACATTTTCATTCTTTTGTCACAAAATACATAAATAGACCTGTGCAATGGCGCAGGTCGAGCAGACCTCGCTGGTAGGGGGACCCCCAACCCTTGGAAAGCTTGACTTGCGGCATTGCACAATGATTTCAAATTTCAAGTTTTCATGCCTTTCTAGAAACAGTTATGCAAAGATCTGTCAGTATATTTAGTTTGTTTTATTTTGATATCTTTGAAAATAACTATGTAAAAATATTCTATAGTTTGCTACTATAAAAAGCTGTCTGCCACTATAAAATAAGCATTATGTATTGTTTTCTATATAGGAAATACAATTTTACTGATTAATTATCGAATATGATACACACATATCCTATTCTGTGATATCTGAACCGTTACCGGATTGTTTTTCTTCATTTTTTATTATTTTTCTTCCATTTTTAAAGGACCCCATTGGAAATAAGCCACTATGTGGCTTTTATGGGTAAGCCTAGGTAAATGGCAATCACCACCACTCCTATTATGCGATCTATTTATAAATAAATACCTTCATTTACTATGATAGTCTGTCTCATTTTGTTTCATATTATAGTAATATCTGTTGTTGTTTTTTACAGTGTATCAGACTTTTTTTAGATTTTTATACTCTGTGATATATGTCAATGATTGAGTTAAAAACCCTTTTATTAGGTCAGACCTATTATTATTCTCAGTCTTAATAAAAAACACTCTTTTTTATTTACAAGCTGCAATGTGATTTTAATTATATATTTTATTCTAAATTGTGATATCTTGTAATAACATGCCTATTTTACCTGAATAAATATTATTATTATTACTTTCAGGAATTGCACGAGTTGCATTTATTATTTTATTTATATATATATATATATATAGTAGATAATAAATAAATAAGTCCTTGCGAAGGAAAATATAGAATAAAAACATTTTTTTCAGATTGTCCGCTAGGCCTTTCTGCCTTCTAGGGCTTCTTCAGGCGGATTGATGTTTATTTATCACCGTTGGTTACATGACGTCATCAATATTTGTATAGTCAACAATTTTAGTGACGTCATAAATAAAGAAGCATAGTGACGTCACAAACAATACCAAGACAAAGAAAACATCTACATACAATACATTGCAAAAATCATTGTGCATTCAGGCTGGGTTTGAGGACTTTTATAAACATATTTTCTTTAATTTCTCTTGCAACTACATCGTCGCTATTCAGTTTGTAAATAGGTAACACATGAAAATCATCTTTAGAACATCGATGCATATGTTTGCTAACTTTTAAAAATCTTAGTTCATTGTCCTTCATTTGTTGTCTATGTACATTCATTCGTATTCTCAATTCACATCCGGTCTGTCCGATATAAAATTCACCACATTGTTTACATATTAAAGAGTAAATAACATTCTTAGAATTACAGTTAATGTCTGATCTAATTTCTATTTTGGAACCATTTGCAAAAACGTAGTCTTTACATTCAATGATAATCTTACATGTACCACACCTTGGTTTCTTAATTTTTTTTACACCAGTGACAACATTTGTGGTATTCATATCAAATTTGGATGTACATAGTAAACGTTTTAAGTTTTTAGGTTGTCTTTTACAGTTTATAATCTTCTTCTTATCAAAAATACACTTCATGTTCTCACTGTTTTTCATAAAATTTACAAAATGTTTAACGACAGGAAACATATTACAATTATTTGGATTGTAAGTAGTAACAAATGGTATGATATCAGCATCTTTGGTGTTAGCTCTTTCTAAATTAACACTGACAGGGCCTTTCTCTTTAGCTCTTTGTATGGCGTTTAGTACCACTTCAGCAGGATAACGTTTGCTTTTAAGATAAAGTTTCAAATCGTCCAATCTATCTTCTAATATTTTTTTATCGCTAACAACCGTGACTAATTTCGATGCTAAACCATATGGAATGTTAAGCTTAGTGTGTTTAGCATGATTTGAAAAGAAATCCAAATAATTGTGAGAATCTGTAGGTTTACAATATATATCGCTAACAATATTTTGTCCTTTAATTTCTACAAAAATATCCAAGAAAGGTATTCCTTTTTCACTTAACTCCATTGTGTAATTCAAATCGGGATGCAAGGCATTTAGCATATTGAAAAATTCCAGAAGATTCTCACCTGGAGGCCAAATAATAAAGCAATCATCTAGAAATCTCAAAAAGTTGTCTTTAAAATAATTTGCAAAAGTAACACTAAATGTGTTTTTAACATTTGTATAAAGTTTATCTTCTAAATACCCAAGGACAAGCGTCGCATAGGTAGGGGCCACCTTTGTTCCCATTGCAGTACCTTTACACTGTTGGTAAAAATTACCATTAAAACAAAACGTATTGTTTTCAAATGCAATTTTTAATGCTTCAACAATGAATTGTTTATCAAATCTAGAATTCACTTTTCCAGGACATTTATTCAACCAATAGCTAATGGCCTCAATTCCCAAATTATGTGGAATATTTGTATACAAGCTTATTACATCAAAAGTTACAAGTTTACAATCCTCCTTAACTTGATTCGGCAAATGAGACAAAAAATCTCATATCATGGTATACACATTATATGTATATATATATATATATATATATATATATATAAAGCATTATTCAAAGTGTATTTCGTCACAGAGTCCTTTTCCTATTACACCAAAATAACGTTGATGGGTATCCCGAGGTCAATCCTGGTTGCATATATCTGGGCATAGTCCGAGCAATCTGACCCTTTCTATGGTATGAAACAAGGATTAAAAGTCCATAGGGGTGGGGTGGGGGTGGGGGGGGGGGTCAATTCTGATAGCAAATCTGTTTTTTTGAACTTTCATGCATTTCAACTGTTTCCAATTGTGACACAGAAAAGAACTCCCTACCATGTGGCCAGACATCAAAGTCAATTCTCATATCATGTATTTGTTCGTCTTTTACAACAATTATGTGTAACAAGTTCAATCGTTCTTGTGAGCCCGGATGTTAGCGCGCGGGATTAAATGTGGGAGGAAATCGGAGTACCCGGAGAAAATCCGGAATTGAAACGTTGAGTTGCCGAATGGCCCGTGGTGAAGGTATATTGTTAATTTGAATTGATGAAGGATTTCATTAATATCTCATTTAGTTGAAAAGCTGAATGCATTCGGATAAAACGCTGGGTTTCTGGATTTGACATCAACGAGAAAGCAAACCGAAAAAAATGGTTCTGCAATCGCTGTTTGTCAATGGCTTCAACGCAGACTCGCAGCTGGTGATGTATGAAAATCAACTTAAACCAGACGACACCCCTGGTGAGGTGATAAACTGGATTAAAGTACAAAGTATCAATGTATTTTGATCTACAACATAGAAAATGACCCACAAAAAGAGACCATTCAGTGGACAACCGAAGTTATTTTATTATGGAATTTACTTTTAATTAAAAAAAAAAAAAGTGAATTAGAAAGCATTATCATATATTTTGCGGAAAATACAGAAAAGGACATTTTAAAGAGATACTCTAGTATCAGATAGATGTTCAGGAATTGGCAATGTATCTCATCTCGTCCGGTTACAGTGTCGCGAGTTTTCCTAGTCAATAACATTTTTTTGCTGACTGGCATGTGTATGCCAACTGTTTCCTTCATGACAAGGTAAATTTCTTTCCCTTTTAGGCTTCCCTGTCTTTCTGGTGTTCACCAAGCTCGAACCGAAATCGCCTACCAATTTTTCCATGTAATTGAATCGACGGCGCTTTTACTGCTAACTCGTACACATTTTTCACCTTACTGTACACTGAGCTTAAGTTATAATCGGTCACTTGATGTTAGGGACTGATCCTCCGCCAAATCCGTTGGATAATATATAATGTGTAAACAAATCAGTAGGGCTCCGAACATTCCTTTTTAACATGAATTTGATAACTAGGCATCTCTTCCTGTA